CTGGGCTCCCCTTCGGCCGGGGGGACGTCGGAAGAGACGCTTCCTCTCCATTTCCCCCCACTCCCCTCTCCTCGCGGTCCTGCCTCCGCTCCAGGGGCAGAAAGGGACCAGGGCCAGAACCAGAACACCCTGCCCTTCGGGTCCGCGCGGTCCGCGGAGCCCGGGACCCCCCTCCGCGCAAGCCCTGCCCGCCGCCTGCCCCTCCCGCCCCAGCTGCTGCCGCCGAGGGCTCCTCGCAGCCTCCTCCCATTGGCCGGGAGCTCCGCGGAGCCCACCAATGAGCAGGCTGGGTTCCCCGGGGCCGCACCAGCGCGGGGCCCACAGGATCCGCGTCCTTCTTTAAATTTAAAGGACCCGCTCGGGGAGGGGCTGCAGCCGCGGGGCGGGATGCGCGCGGGGAGAGCCCGGGGCCGCTCCAAAATAGTGGGGCCGGCGCCGGCTGCGCGTGGCAGCCGAGAAGGAGCTTGTATTGGCACGACTGTTGGAAAATGTCTTGAACGAGGAGGGAAACAAATCATAATACAGTATTTCCTTCTCTTGCTTCTCACCCCCCCCCCCACCTACCCACCCCAGTTGCCTGGAAAGGCACCTCCATAGAACGCTCACCCCGGTTAGAATCCGACCCCCCCCCCAGAACTATGACCCACGACCCCCTGCCATTTATAGATTCCTGTCCTCCACCCCCAATCAATTCCGCCGGATAATCTGAAACCTGAATTTTCTGTGTGTAAACCGGAGGGAGAGCTGGGTGACCCCGGGGGACAAGAGGCGCTGCTGGAGCTGGGGAGATCTCCAGGGTGGGCTTCCCAGGGGGACAGGGGGTGGGGGGGGAGACGGGGAAGACGTGAGAGGACAACCAGGAGAGGCGCCCCACATCCTGTCAGCCCAGAGCTATGAAGAACACCTCCCCCCTTCCCCCCAACATTACCAGTTCACTGTGTGGCCCTGGGTAGGTGGCCTTCCCTCTCTGGATCTCGGTTTCTTCATTGGCAGATAGGGGAGGAGGGCGTGGACCTTGAGCTTTCTCAGGTCCCTTTCTATCTCCAACCTGATGATATAAACCAACCATAACTGAGATCCAGGCACCAGACACAAGTGTGGCTACAAAGTTCTCTAGAATGAGTCCCTCTGGCACGCTTCCGGGAGCTGAGAGTGGGCCTGGGGGTGAGGGGACGTGCCCATGGTTGCCACCAGAGGTGGGCCCAGCACACAAGAAAGCCCTGAGCCACGGCTGGATTTTCTGTGTCCTCCACCCCCACCCTGCCCCTTGGCCGCCCTCCCCTTCTCCTTGGCTCCGGCTCTCTGGAAGCTCCATCCTGCTGAGTCTTGGCTGCTGTTTCCAGCAGGTGGGGTGGGGGCTGCTCACAAAAGGGGGCCAACCGAGCTCCCTCAGCAGGTTCCAATGGGCACCCCGAAAGGGGTCTCTGAGAAGGACCCAGCTCATCTGCCTGGAGCCCAGGCCTTCCGAGACCCCAGCGCAGACTGGAGAGAGCATCTTTCTTCTCCCAGGCCCCAGCGACAGCTTGGCAAACCCTTATCGCCTGAGAAGCAGCTGCTGGAGAAATACCTTAGCAGCTGACTCACTGCCCTGTCCTCTCTTTACAACCCCCTCCCATTGGGCCCCACACCAGGCCTGAGAGGGAGGGAGAGAAGGAGGGAGGGGAGGAGGAAGGGAGGGGGGAGAAAAGAGAGAGAGAGAAGGGACAAAGCGACCCCAGCTGGTCTGGCCCAGACTCTACAGAGGGTGTGGCTAGCACAGTTCTGGATGGGTGGTTGGGGGAGGTTGTACCCTGTAAATGGTCTTCATCTGGGATCACCGTTATTCTTAGAGACTTATTCAGCTGAGGCCTCTGACCTCTTGGCACTGCCTCCCCCAGGCATTGATAGACAACTGACATACTGCTGGCACTGCCCTCTGGGGTACAAGATATAGACCCTGCCTCAGGGCGTGTACAGTCTGGCAGACAGGCAATTCCTGAACTGGGGAAGGACTGGGTGACGAGGAGTTGTGCATGATTCCCAGTTCTCCGTGGCTCCCTGGGCCTCAGTTTCCCTGTCTGTCAAATGCAGATATGCAACTTCCTATCCACTGGGTAATTGTGAGGACTGAATAAAATAACGCATGTGGAAGCACAACAGAATGTTGGATGGTAATGACAAGCTCTGGCAAACTGGGAAAGGAGAGAATTCCTCAGTCAGGAGGGTTTCTGGACTCCTTTTGCCCTGGGTTCTCTGATCACAATTTGTTTGGGGGGAAAGACCAAACCACCTTCCCCCATGGGCTTCAAGCTCAGCTCACTTCAGGCCCAGAGTCAGGCTTTTCATTATAATAATGGCTAACAACTGCATGCTAGGCACTGTTCTAAGTGTTACATGTATTGACTGCATCTATGTATATGTGTGTTATATGTATACATGTGTTGTATGTATTTACTCCTTTTGCCCTCATAATCCTTTGAGGTGAGTAGTAAGCACCTAACAAATATTTGACCCTCATGACAACAACAACACTATGAGATAGGAACTATTATTGCCCCTAACAGATGAGGAAACTGAGGCACAGAGCAGCAAGGTAACTTAGCAAGTAGTGGAGTGAGGGATCAACAGGAAGTCTACCCAACTGCAGAGCTTGTGTTCATCCCCTGCTCCCCGCAGGCTGATGCTGGCGGCCTTGACCCTGTGCTCAGATGGGGCTTTTCTGCTCATCCCTCTGCATTGGAATGGGCTCTGAGGAGTCCACGCCAGAAAAAGCAGACAGCTCCAGACCGCAAACCAACCCCCCAGAAGCCAGTCCTTGACCCTTTACCAGATGGGGCCCCAGGGCAGGAAGCAAAGCCCCCCCATCATCTCTAGCAGCCCACCAGCAAAGTCAGTCAGTAAATAATGAATAAACAACAATAACATCCCCTTACATACTTATAATACTTTTTTAAATATATATTTTTATTGATTTCAGAGAGGAAGGGAGAGGGAGAGATAGAAACATCAATGATAAGAGAGAATCATTGACCGGCTGACTCCTGCACACCCCCTGCTTGGGATCGAGCCCACAACCTGGGCATGTGCTCTTGACTGGAATCAAACCAGGGACCCTTCAGTCTGCAGGCCAATGCTCTATCCACTGAGCCAAACCAGCTAGGGCCTTATAATTCTTTAGAGAGAGAAAAATAAGCCTACTATGTACCAGCTGCTGGGTGCTTTATTAATAAGAGGTAACATTTGTTGAATAATTACTATGCGCCAGGAACTGTTCTAAGTTTCTTTAGAAGTATAGATGACCCTTGAACAACACAGGAGTTAGAGGCACCACCCTGTGCAGTACAAAACGTATAACTTTTGACTCCCCAAAAACTTAACTACTAATAGCCTACTGCTGACCAGAAGCTTTACCAGCAATATAAACAGTCAATTAACACATAGTTTTATATGTACTGTATACTGTATTCTTACAATAAAGTAAGCTAGAGAAACAAAATTGTTATAAGAAAAGCATAAGGAAGAGAAAATACACTGACAGCACTGTACTTATCAATATCATAAGGCCACGTCCTCTGATTACAAGATGAAAAAAGTCCACATATCGTGGACCTGTGCAGTTGGAACCCATGTTGTGCAAGGGTCAACTGTATTAACTTGCTTAATCCTCACACTAATCCTGGTGGGGAGGAACCATGCAAAGGTCCCTGTGCCAAGGAAGAAATGAAAGAGAGAGAGGAGAATGCACTTTCCCAGGATCACAGAGACCAATATTTTTTAGGCTTTTTTGTTTATAAGAAATGTATTTTACATCATCACCACAAACATACACACACACGTAACTGAGGTAAAAATTGACACTGCGTATTTAAGTTTTCTGGGTGCTGTGCACGCTGATATGCTGTACTCTATTTTGTTCTGTTTTATTTCTTCTTGCATCCTGGTCGTGACCTACTACATTGATTCCACACCCCATTAATGAGTCAACACCGGCAGTTTGAATGGCACTGAGTCTGGCTAGAAGTCCCAAGGCCGAGGCCGGGATTCGAACCCAAGTCACATGGCTCCAGAGCCGATTCTCTTGGGATAAAGAGTGGCTTAGAAAAGGGGGACTCTGGAGGCGTGTGGACAGGTGGGGACTGTACTAAGGAGGGAAGTGAAGGCCTTGCATCCCAGCAAAAGATAATGCAAACGTCACTAATACTGCCACTGGGATGCAAACTTGCTGCCATAGACATAGTTAATCTGTTTTTTTCTTTTTTAATTTATTTTTCAATTACAATTTACATTCAGTGTTGTTCTGTATTGTTGGCTATAGGCCCTGTGCTGTAGTCTACATCTTTGTGGCTATTCTGCAACTACCAATCTGTACTGTTTAATCCCTTCACCTTTTTCATGCAGCCCCCCAACATCCCTCCCCTCTGACAGCTGTCAGTTTGTTCTCTGTGTCTATCAGTCTGTTTCTACTTTGTTTATTTTGTTCATTAGATTCCACATATAAGTGAAATCATATGATATTTGACTTTCTCTGACTGGCTTAATTTCACTTAGCATAATACCCTCTAGGTCCATCTAAGACATAGTTACTCTTTAATTAGTCCCCCCATGAAGGAAGTAGAGTGGACTGAGAGATAGACTCAGGCCATCTAAGTGATGTGACCAAGGTCCCTGAGCCAGAACTAGAGCCCTGTGTCCTGTCGCCTGGTCCAGGGATCCTTTCACGCCATCTCCAGCTTACCTTTGAGGATAATGACATTGAAGCTGGCAATGGCAGCAGAGGTGGGGCTGGAGGTCATGTGATGACTGGTGCTGGTGATCATAGACATGATCATGGTTGGTACAGGTGATGTGGGTGGTGGGAGGTGGTGGTGCTAGGGGTGGCGGCATTAATGATGGCGGGAAGAGTAATGGGGACGTTGCAGGGACAGTGCCGGTGGTGGCAGGTCTGGAGGCACCACCACAGCAGGGTCTGTACCCTTCTCCCAAGCTAAACTGCCCCCCCACCTCCTCCTTCCCTAGCACTTCCCTGAGCACCTGGACCACTTTGGGGAGAACATGGAGGACTTCTCCAACGACCTGTTCAGCAGCTTCTTTGATGACCCGGTGCTGGATGAGAAGAGCCCTCTACTGGACATGGAACTGGACTCCCCCACGCCAGGCATCCAGGCGGAGCACAGCTACTCCCTGAGCGGTGACTCTGCACCCCAGAGCCCCCTGGTACCCATCAAGATGGAGGACACCACCCAAGGTAAGAAGGGTGGGAGGGCCCAGGACAGCACATGCACATAAGGCCCAGGAGGGAAGGAAGCTTTTGCAGGGCCACAGGGGGCACTGGAGGCTGAGACTCCCAGAGGCTCTGGGAGGAGGCACCCACAAACACCCCTCAGGGAGGCTGCCCACTTTTATTCCTGAAGGGAGGGTTCTCTAAAGCGCCCCTCTCCCCCTGCCTTGCTTTTTAGCAAAGGGCCCTTGAGTCTTTTCTCTCAGGTTCAACATTAGAGAACTCCAGACTGTTGCCCACCTAGACATGGCCTTTGGGCATTTCCTCAACCCATCTGGGCCCACGGTATCTGGCTGGGTGATCATGGACACATCTCCTGGCTTCTATGAGCCTCGGGGTCTTCATCTACCAATGGGAACAGCAGTAAACATTTCTACAGTCCTCTCCAGTTTACCACGGGCTCTCATGTTCATGTTCTCATTTATTTCTCACGACTCAGAGGTGAGGAAGGAATCACTTCTATCATAATCCCTATTTGACGGGTAAGGACAATGAGCCTTTAGGAAAGCTGCGTTGTTTAAGTTACAAACAGTAAAATGCAGGTTAGGGACTTGGAAGCAAGCAAGCCCGCTGATTCTAAGCCTCACACCCTCGCCGCACCACATTTGCCAGCCTCAAGGGGGCAGCAAGGAGTACTGGGTTTGGAACCAAACATCCTGATGCTTCCACCAGCTGCTGTGTGGTCTTAGCAAGTTTCTTAACCTCTCTGGGCTTCTGTTTCCTCAATTATAAAATGAAGATACTTCGTGGCTTGACATAGAATTCTGGACAAGATTAAAAATCCCAGCACATAATATATATCAACTAGAGGCCCAATGCATGAAATTCGTGCAAGGGGCTTGGCCCCCATGCCGCAGCCTCTGCCTCGGCCTCCACTGCTCCGAAGCTTAGTCCGGAAGGTCGTCTGGAAGGTCATCTGGTCTAATTAGCATATTACACTTTTATTATTATAGACTAGAGGCTCAGTGCACGAAATTGTGTGCGGGTAGGGTCCCTACACCTAGCCTGCGATCAGGGCCATCTTTCGCCCATTCGCCAGTCCCCAGTCCCACCCTGCCACCAACACCCATTCCGGTTCCCCATTTGCCATCTGACAATCTATCAGAGCCTGCGGGCCAGGGGAGGGACCAAGACGTCTGCCTTCACCCACTTGCCAGTTCCCAGTCCTGCCCCAACGCCACCCACCCCGGTTCCCCATGGTTCCCCATTGGCCATCCAGGGATCGGAGCCTGTGGGTTGGAGGGGAGGGACCAAGAGGTGGTCAATGCACCTCATAGCGACTGGTCGATCAGTCGTTCTGGTCGGTACCCTGTTATGGTCGCTGGCCTTTTATTATATAGGATAATTACTGGCTATTTTCATTGTGCCTCTAAAAGTCCTCTTGATACTGTCGTGGTTCTATTCCTTTCCCCTCAGAGGACCATGGTCTTGAATGGTTTTCTTAATATTCTCATCTATTAAATGTGGAAAATAGTGGTGTCTGTCCCATAGAATTTGGGGGAGGAATAAATGAGCTTATATGTGTCAAAGGCTTAGAGCTGTGCTCAGTGCAGAAAGTGTGAGGTGCTTCTTAGGGTCTTAGAGGTTCCCCAGGGGCAGAGACAGACCTTTGTACCGCCCCCCCCAACCCTAGCCCTGAGGGCAGGGACATCTCTTGAGGTTTTAAGTGGCTCCTGGCCTGTGGTTGCTGAGGTCCCAGCTTCCCTCTGTGCCCTGGCCGCAGGGAAGAACTCTGAGGTCACTCAAGGAGGCCTCGGGCACAGCCTGGGGAGGGGCAGGGTGTGGGATGGGCACCCTCCCACGGCGGGCGCTCCCTCCACCCCCACATGCCCAGCCCAGCAACTCCTTGAACACCCCCAATCTATTTTTAGAGTAATTTATTTGTGGGCCCTTTGCAGGGGGCAGTTTCCCGGAGGCCAGCGGGCTAGGCTGGCCCTGTAATTTGGGAAGATTGTGGGTGTTCCTGGAGCCAGGGGCAGCCTGTGGCCCAGAGCTGGGGCTCTCCGGCTCCCAGAGGGTGGGGCCCGGCCTCTGAGGTGGGATCAGGCAGCCGTTGACCCCTCTCCCCACCCACAGTGGGTCCCAAAGGCCAGAGTCCCCTGTAGTCCTTCCTTTGCAAGCTGGCCGCCCAGGCCCCCGCCTTTCCAGTGCTGCTCTGACTTCCAGGTGGGGCCAGCCTGAGCTGGGGTGGAGGACTGTGGGCGCCCAGCAGGAAGAGGGGTGATGTCTGCCATCCCTGTGGCCCAGGTGAGGTCAGGAGGCCTCCTAGATAGGCAGGAGGTTCACGCTGCCTGGGAGACCTGAGCATCATCCCTCACCCCCCACCTGCCCCCAGTCACAGGTCCGGTGACTGCTTCCTTCCAAAAACGTCTCCCGTGTGCTCCGTCCTCTCCATCCCCACGGCCACTGCCTTTGCTCAGGCCTTGTCCTCTCTCGCTGGACCATTCCAACGGACTCCCGCGGTGTCCCTGCCTCTAACTTGCCTGCCCCAGGCAGTCTTCTCACACAGGCAGAGTGGTCTTTTTTAACATCACAAATCTGAACGTACTTAAAACTCTTCAGTGCCACCTCATTGCCTTTAGGACAGTGGTTCTCAACCTTGGCTGCACATGAGAATCACCTGAGAATCTTTTTAAAATCCTGATTTCTGGGCCTCGCCCTCCGGAAATTCTGTTTCTTTGTGATGGGGTGGGGCCACAACATGAGTAACAAAGAAACAGAATTTCCGGAGGATGAGGCCCAGAAATCAGGATTTTAAGAAGATTCCCAGGTGATTCTAATGTGCAGCCAAGGTTGAGAACCACTGCTCTAGGACAAAGTCACAGCTCTGAGCGCAGCCTCCCAGCCCCTGCCGGCCTCTCTGGCCCCATTTCCTTTCCTTTTCATTCCAACTGCTTGTGACCTTCACTAGATGCCCAGAACCTAGCACCGTGCTCAGCAAATGTTTGCTGAATAACAATAATTATAGGAACAATAGTACCATTTATTGGACATTTATTTACTTCTTAACAGACACTTTTATAGATGAGAAAACTAAGGCTCAGAGAGGTTAAACAACTTGCCTGAGGTCACACAGCCAGTCAGGAGGGGTTCTGGTCTGTTGTCCAAGCCCAGTCTATTAGCTGCTGAATGAAGAAGGTGCCCCCATGTCTTCTGGCTCCCCGCGGATAGGAGCGGGGCCGAGCCCTGTGCTCCGGGAGCCCCCTGAGCCTGGGTCCTGCCCCTTTCCCCAGATGTGGAACATGGAGCCTGGGTGCTGGGACACAAATTGTGCTCCGTCATGGTGAAGCAGGAGCAGAGCCTGGAGCTGCCTGTGGACCCGCTGGCCGCCTCCTCAGCCATGGCTGCCGCTGCTGCCATGGCCACCACCCCGCTGCTGGGCCTCAGCCCTCTGTCCAGGCTGCCTGTCCCCCACCAGGTGAGCCTGGGGACTGTTTTGTAGGGGCTGAGGGAGGGGCAAAGGGTGGGGGGAGGGGTCTGTGTGGGAAGAAGTGTCCAAAGCCCTGTGCACCCAGGGTTCTATGAACAGGGAGCAACGTGACTCACCCTCAGGACCAAGGGCTGGAACTCCCAGACGGGCCTCTGCCTCCGCCTTGGGCCGCCACGCATCATCTAGAATGCGCTCAGACCATCCAGCCCTCACAGCGAGCTGGGGCCCTCACCGTGTGTGGGCAAGGCTTACAGGACGCCGGCAGGGCTGGCGTTGGGCCATGTCCAGAGTCCCAGAGATGGAGACAGCCAGGCCACTTAATTTTCTCAAAGCGTCAGCATTTTAAAAAAGGAAGGCCAGCGTGGAAATATAAAACTTGTACTATCTTTCAGTTGTTTACATTCATGAGATTAATATCTTCAACCCACATTCTCATACCACCCCCACGCCCTGCGAATGTAGATATACATCATTGGCTATAGGTCCGAGATGATATCTGAAAACCCTTCTGAGAATGTGAGGCCCAGAGCCCAGGCCCCTGGGAGAGGCCCTGCCTGGGTCCAACTTGGCTCTCACTTGTGCTCTGGGCACATGCCACTCCCTTTTCCTCCGCCTCCTTCTCTATAAAATAGGAGTGTGAGCTACCAGGTACCTCTAGGACAGTGGTTCTCAACCTTCCTGATGCCGCGACCCTTTAATACAGCTCCTCATGTTGTGGTGACCCCCAATTTCATTGTTACAAATTGAACATAATTAAAGCATAGTGATTAATCACAAGAACGATATGTAATTATATATGTTTTCCGATGGTCTTGGGCGACCCCTGTGAAAGGGTCGTTCGACCCCCAAAGGGGTCGTGACCCACAGGTTGAGAACCGCTGCTCTAGGAGCTTCTGTCCCTGGGTCGTCTTAAATCCTTAGTCTGGATCGGGCCAGTCCTGCCCCCTGCTGGCCACACAGCTCACCTGATCAGAATGTGGCCACAGGCAGACCGGTCAGCCCCTCCCAAACCCTCCACTGTCCACCAGGATCAAGGGTTGGCTGCAGATGTGGAGGATCTTTCTTTTTTCTTAAATATATATTTTTATTGATTTCAGAGAGGAAGGGAGAGGGAGAGAGAGAGATAGAAATATCCATGATGAGAATCATTGATTGGCTGCCTCCTGCACGCCCTCTACTGGGGATTGAGCCCGCAACTCTGGCATGTGCCCTTGACCGGAATCAAACCTGGGACCCCTCAGTCCACAGGCCAACATTCTATCCACTGAGCCAAACCAGCTAGGACTGGAGGATCTTTTTTTTAAAAAAATGTATGTTTTTATTGATTTTTTTAGAGAAAGAGGTATAGAGAGATAGAAATATCAATGAGAGAACATTGATCAGCTGCCTCCTGCACGCCCCCTCCTGGGGCTTGAACCTGAATACCTGTGACATCTTGGTTCATGAGTCAATATTCAACCACTGAGCCACACCAGCTAAGCGTGGAGGATCTTTTGTGATCAGATCCAAGACTGGCTCCGCAACACCTCGGGCCTTGCCAAAGCAGGAAGGGAAGGCAGGACTGCAGCAGCAGCCAGAGGTGGGGCACATGCCTCAGAGAAGGACACTGAGGCTCAAGAGGTTAGGCAACTTTCCCCAAATCACACAGTCCCAAACAGAGGAGCTGCACCCCCAACTCAGACGCCAGACCTGAGACCCACACCTTCACTCCAGTGAGGTCACAACACCCCAGCGGAGGCAAAAGAATCAGGAGTTGGTGAAGTGCCCTCACCCTTCTGCATCGCAGTCCCCTCATCTGTCACTTGAGGGCTGAGCTGGGATAGACACGAGGGAACCTACCAGGCCCCCTCCCCCCAACTTGAACCTTCTATGATTCTTACTCATCTGCCTAAACTTGGGATTCTGTGTCCCACCCACAAAACATGACCTCTCTCTGCTGGCCGCAGACCAAGGGAAAAGGTGGTCCTGAAATACAGCACCCAACACAGCGCCTTCCTCAAAGAGAACACCACTCCCGTGCGTGCTGACAGCCATGTGTAGGAAGCCACTCATGTTCCTGAAATCCTATCTGGAACAGCAAGTTGGAATATAAAGAAATAGGAATGTATCTTAGTTTAAAGTGTAAATCGAGCCCTAACTGGTTTGGCTCAGTAGATAGAGCATTGGCCTGCAGACTGAAGGGTCCCAGGTTTGATTCCGGTCAAGGGCATGTACCTTGGTTGCGGGCACATCCCCAGTAGGAGGTGTGCAGGAGGCAGCTGGTCGATGTTTCTCTCTCATCGATGTTTCTGACTCTCTATCCCTCTCCCTTCCTCTCTGTAAAAAATCAAAAATAAATAAATAAATAAAGTGTAAATCGAATTCTGTCAGTCCCTTGCTTAAAACCCGTTAGGGGCTCCTCACTGCTTCAAATTCTTTTGTCTGGATTCCGCTCCCACCCCCACCCTACTCCGATCTTCTAGTCTTATTTCCTACCCCTCCATCCCAACACACATTCCTACACACTGGACACCCTGAGTACACATTAATTCATGCTTATCCCTCCGCTTGGCTGAGTGGCTCCTCCACGCACAGGAACTTGCCTCTACTCCCTCTGGGCTGTGCCCAGAACTCTAAGCCCAGCCACCTCCCCAGTTCAGCAGGACAGGCCACCAGCCTCAGGGAGGGAGATGGGTGGATGGCGTGGTGGGGACAGCCGCAGGGGCAGCTGATGGAGCTGGACCTGTCTCTTCCTCAGGCCCCGGGAGAGATGACTCAGCTGCCCATGATCAAAGCAGAGCCCCAGGAGGTGAACCAGTTCCTCAAAGTGACACCAGGTAGGTGTGTCCAGGGAGGGACTCTTCCTCTCCAGTCCTGGGCAGACAGCATCCCTACTACCTTGGTCCAGCCACCCACCTCCCTCAACAACCCCCCTTTCCATAATATCCTCTCCTCCATGCTTGGCCCACCCCCCACCCATCCAGTCCCCTTCTTACCCAGCCTCTGACTGTCAGCCCTGCTATCTGCACCCTCACACCTTCTTCACTAATCCCCTGTCATTCACTAACTGCAGCTCATTTTATTTCCATTCACTCATCTACCCATCTGTCTATCTGTCCATCCATCCATCCATCCAACTCTCCATAAATCTGGGCATCTGTGCTGCCCAGGCTGCCTCCTGGCCACCTGCAGAGTGTCAGTCTTCCTGGTGCTGTGGCCACAGAGGGACAGCATGGAGGGAGGCTGGGAAGAGCAGTGCTCCTGGCTGGTTGGCTGAAAGCCCAATGCCTGCTGCCTCGTTACCCTGAAGTCAGAAATGGAAACCCTGGGGTAGTTATAGCTAAACATTGGGGTGGGAGGGAGGGAGGGCAGACTCCAGCCACCTGCTGGAGTTGTCGAACTGGAGGCTCAAACACCCTGAAGCTGGGGATGGGGGAGGGCCTCCAAGAATCCAGCCTCACCAAGGATGAGGCTCAAAGGAGCCAGGCCTCTGGTGGCAGAGATGAGGTGGCGCCCAGGGATCAGCTCCTGGGCTGTCAGCTCCCATCTCTCTGACAGCACAGAGGGGCTTTGGATGCTGTGACTGGTCAGGCCCCAGCACTCTTGACCACAGCATCAGGGCTGGCTGAGGCCCATGCTCTGCTGAACTCTGAGGTCCCAGCAGAGCGGAGTGCAACCTGCTAACCCGCTTCCCCCACTCTCCCCAGAGGACCTGGTGCAGATGCCTCCGACGCCCCCCAGCAGCCATGGAAGCGACAGTGACGGCTCCCAGAGTCCCCACTCTCTGCCCCCCTCCAGCCCTGTCCGGCCCATGGCCCGCTCCTCCACGGCCATCTCCACCTCCCCCCTCCTCACGGCCCCTCATGTAAGCTGCCGGGAGTGGTCTGGGGCAAATAATTGGGTAAATCCACCCTGGCACACCTCCGGTGGGGAAGGGTCTGGGGAGCCCCAACCTCATCCCGTCCCCATCAGAATTCAGAGAGGTGCCTGCCTGGCAGATGGGAGTGAGAATCTCTTAGCCCTGCCTCGTGGTGAATAGGAAATAGGCAGGGAGGTCCAAGAGGCCTGCCGAACCCACAGTGTGCAGAGCCAGGACTAGAATGGACGTTCCTAACCTCCCTGTGTGGGGAGCAGTGCTCAGGAGGCCCAGAGTACCCAGGGAACTGGAGCTGGACCCTGAGCCCTGGGATGGGTGTGGAACCTTCCAAGCCAAGACTGAAGGGATATGAAGGGGGGCGCCATTTAGGGGGCCCTGGACAAGTAGGTTTTGAGTCTATGAATTTGAGGGTGGGATCTAAGGAGCCCCCCAACAATGTACCGAGTGCCTAATATGCTGGGCTCCCAGCACCATCCTAAGCATTTGATGCATATTATTGGATTTAATTCAGCTCTACCCCATTTCTTAAAAATATTTATTTATTTATTTATTTATTTATTTATTTATTTAAGAGAGGCAGGGAGAGGGAGAGAGAAAGAAACATCAATGATGAGAGAGAATCATTGATCAGCTGCCTCCTGCAGGCCCCATACTGGGGACTGAGCCCGCAAGCCAGGATGTGCCCTGACGGAGAATCAAACCCCGACCTCCAGGTTCATAGGTCGACACTCAGCCACTGAGCCACGCCGGCTGGGCTCTACCCCTTTTTAGATGAGGAACCTGAGGCTCGGGGAGTTGAGCGCTCTGCCCAGGTCACACACAGAATAAACAGCAGAGCTTGAACTTGAACCCAGGGCTGTCTGGTTCTAACCATCATGTCCGATTTCCCACAGAAATTACAGGGGACTTCAGGGCCACTGCTCCTGACAGAGGAGGAGAAGCGCACCCTGATTGCTGAGGGCTACCCCATCCCCACGAAACTCCCCCTCACCAAAGCCGAGGAGAAGGCCTTGAAGAGGGTCCGGAGGAAAATCAAGAACAAGGTAAGGCAAGAGCCGGATCCCTGCCCTGGCGCTTCCTTGGCGGGTGGGGGTCTCTGATCCCCTGGTGATGCCAGCTCTGAAATTGGGGGTCCCAGGAAGTGGATTTATGGCCATGGTAACCCCTCTCTTGGGGGCTTCCCCCTCTAGATCTCGGCCCAGGAGAGCCGCCGTAAGAAGAAGGAATACGTGGAGTGTCTAGAAAAGAAGTAAGGGTCCCGTGTGGAGAGGGGGGCCTGGGTCACAGGGCTCCAGGGGCAGGAGGCACAGGGGCTGAGATGCTGGTGGGCAGGACTGAGGGGGCAGCAGCAACTCTGGGGCTGCCCCTGAGCCTGTGCCTGGTTGGCCCCGCAGGGTGGAGACATTCACATCAGAGAACAACGAACTGTGGAAGAAGGTAGAGACCCTGGAGAATGCCAACAGGTGGGTGCTGCCACCCGCATCCTGCACTGCCCCTGCCCCCTGCAGAGGAGAGGTAACGGAGTTCAGGATGAACCCCAGAAACAGGAACCCTGCAGCCCAGGACGCCAGCTTCCCATCCTTCCTCATCCACACATAGCTCTACACACGTGACAGACTGACGAGACGCTTTAAAGGAGATGGTACAGAGCAGTGGTCTCCAGAGCGTGGTTTCTCAGACCACCACCAGCAGCCTCCCCCGAGAACTTGTTAGAAATGCTTATTATTTTCAGGCCTCACACCAGGGCTACTGAGGCAGGAACTCCAGGGAGGGGGCTCAGCACTGCAGGCAATTCTGATGCGCCCTAGGGTTAGAACCACTGGCGTAGGTGCTTGCCCCTCAAAGCGAGCTTCTCAAACAAGCAGCAGCAGCAGCACCGGGAGCTCGTACGAAATGCAGAATCTCAGGACTCTCCCAGATGCACTGAATCAGAATCTGCATTTCCGCAAGCCCGTTGGGTGGCTCACATGCACAACTAAGTTTTAAGAAACACCAGTGTACGCCTGGCCTGAAGGAGCTACATAAAGTTGCAGCTCTGGATTCGTATTCCACTCGGCCATTTTGGCGACTGGGCCCAGCTTCTTTGTCTACATGGTGATGATAGAAGCACCATCTCACAGGATGTGTGTCATGATTCGATAAGAGAGTGCAACTAAATTGCCCAGCACTGTGCTTGGCGTTTAAGGATGCTCAATTCATGTTAGTTTTTCTTTTTTCTTTCTTTATTGTTTTTATTCTAAACTCTTGATAGTGCCCAGCCATGAGTGCACAGTAGGTCTTTAATGATTATTTGCTGGGATTAATTAAAATAAATAGACAACAGCCTGGCTGGCATGGCTCAGTGGTTGAGCGTCAACCTTTGAACCAGAAGGTCACGGTTTGATTTCTGGTCAGGGCACAGGATTGAGGGCTGGATCCCCAGTGTGGAGCACACAGGAGGCAGCTGATCATTGATGTTTCTATCTCTCTCCCTTCCTCTCTGAAATCAATAAAAATATTTTTTTAAAAAAAATAAAATAAAGCCCTGACCGGTTTGGCTCAGTGGATAGAGCGTCAGCCTGCGGACTCAAGGGTCCCAGGTTTGATTCCGGTCAAGGGCATGTACCTTAGTTGCAGGCACATCCCCAGTGGGGGGCGTGCAGGAGGCAGCTGATCGTTGTTTCTCTCTCATCGATGTTTCTAACTCTCTCTCCCTCTCCCTTCCTCTCTGTATAAAAAGTCAATAAATATATTTTTTAAATAAATAAATAATAAATAAATAAAATAAAAACAGCAGCTGGTATATAGCAGGTGCTCAACAGAAGGCTTTTCCCTTCTTTCCTTCCTTCTCTCCCAGCTTCCCCAGCAGGATCCAGCCACTCTCCTGATTGGTCTGGAGAATGCCTTCCCTCAGGGAAGGGGATCCGGGGAACCATCACCCCTCACTCCACCTCTGGCCCAGATTCCTCTCTGGCCCCAAATCTGGCCAGGCCCTCGGTGTTATTTCGCCACCTGCTGTACATTATTTGAACTGCAACCCCCTCTGCCAGGCTGGGTGGAGGAAAGAGATGATTAAATGTTTGTTCACCAAGCATGGGCCAAGCACCCGCTGTGTGTAGCCAGAGGATTCCACACCCGGTGGGACCCAATCCTTACCCTCAGGGAGCCCACAGTTAACTGAGGAGGCTGACATGGAAATCCATAAATACACGTGTTACAGGTGTCGTGATCAATGTAAAAACAGCAATGAAAATTTTAAAAATGGTAGTTGCCATTTACTGGACACTCACTATGTACCAGACAGCTGGCAGACATGGGTTGTGGGGTGCTGTGGCTGCCGTAGGGCCCAGGTGGGACGGCCTTCCTCCAACCCCCACTTTGGCCAGGAGCATCACAGGGCCCCCCTGAGCTCCCCCAGGGTGACCCAGCTACCCACCAGGAGGCAGGCCCAGGTTCCCGGACACCGCAGAGGGGCAAGCGGGAGGCGACCTCTTCTGTCTTGACTGAAGTGGGCACCTGGGGGGGAGCCAGGTCTGGAGCCAGCCCAGGTGTGCGCTGGAGAGCAGGAGGCAGAGATGCCCGCTGGTCAGAGCCTCTGTGACCGCTGTGTCCCCCTCAGGACCCTGCTTCAGCAGCTGCAGAAGCTCCAGACGCTGGTCACCAACAAGATCTCCAGGCCGTACAAGATGGCAGCCACCCAGACGGGGACCTGCCTCATGGTAGGTCCGCTCCCTCCTACAGGCCTCCGGAGGGCGTCTTCCCGGGTGGCTTTCTAGGGGGGGTGGGCAGACCTTGGAAGGATTGGCAATACGATGGGCAACATCGCCAAGGTCCACCATCCCAGTGCCCTCTGAACCTTCTAGAGCAGTGGTTCTCAACCTTCTGGCCCTTTAAATACAGTTCCTCATGTTGTGACCCAACCATAAAATTATTTTCGTTGCTACTTCATACCTGTCATATTGCTACTGTTATGAATCGTCATGTAAATATCTGATATGCAGGATGGTCTTAGGCGACCCCTGTGAAAGGGTCGTTCGACCGCCAAAGGGGTCGCGACCCACAGGTTGAGAACCGCTGTTCTAGAGCGTGGCCTTCCCTGGCCAGTCCTAACGGGGTGGCTGTGCAGTGACTCCCGTGAACCCCGCTGCGGGGCGGCAAGGCAAATGCCACACCCTGTGGAGGGAAGGGCTGGGGGAGACACTCAGACCTGTGGACTTGGTTCTTTCTGGAATGAATGGTGGCGAGAAGGCCGAGCAAATCTCTGAAAACCCGAAAGAGTGCCCAGGGGTGGCTCAGGCCTCTGCTCGTCCCTCTTCCACCCTCTCCTGGACCTGTCCGCCTGGACACTGCCCGGGGCATTCCCTCCGGGACCCGGGCTGCCAGGTGGCAGAGCCATGTGTGGGCAGGGGTTAGTGGGC